AGTATCTTGCAGTCACGCTGTAGCCATGGATTCCAGGCCTGGATAGCGTATTCTATGAGTGGTCGAATGTATGCTGATAGTAGGCGGGGGAATAAAGCTGACNTTAAGCAAGCTGACATTCTTTACAGCTGCGTTGGACACCTTGGTGCAGTTGTGTGAGCAGCTTAAGGTTTCTTGAATCATGATACCCAGGTAGAAACAGCTTTGTTCTGTTCTAAAGTTCAAACGACAGCAACCATAAATACATTCACGTGTATGCAATTATTTATGAGATTGAAGACTTGGTGTAATTCTCGAAGGAAACGCCGTGTACCAAACAACAGAAGTTTAAGCAGAAAATGCATAATGCACTCCATGGTAAGATCAGAGATGCGAAAATATCAACCCAACTAGTTCAGTTTTGATCCGTTTTTCAGACAAGCAATTATTATTTGTGATGGCAATAGACCTTCAGCCATTCACCTATTCATATAGATGATTTTTCGAATAGTTTCTGTCGTATGAACTTTTGATGTCTAGCCCTAAGAAGAAAAAACAATACATTTCAGATGTTATTAGACAACTTGTGTTCGACCTTACATAGAACGAATCAAATACAGCAATACTGGGGTATCCAGTGATCAGATTGACTAGAATGTTTGACAAATACCGGTACAAACTTTGAGTACAGTCAATAAATCGGCACTACCTATGACAGCCCACAAGGGTGAGGAATGCATTTGTTTTCGTTCTATTCCAGTATAAATAGTTGTGGAATTTTATCTGTCTGACCAACAAGCTTAATCTTATATCAACTGTTACTCAGAATACTGGCAGTTACAAACCAGGAGAGAAAATCAAATTGTAATTATCGTGATAAGTGTCACGGGAGAAGTGAGACACTCAACTTTCCGAAAGCGATTTATCACGCAATTGCAAGGAACAGTGAACAGGGCTGTAGTGTTTTGAAAGCAATTTATAGCTGTACAATCCTCAACACTGTTTATTAGTAACGCATGTCCGGAAGAGATTGAATCACATCCCAACAACGCCTTTATTGGGTTCCGGGTTCTGTGATTTAGATGTAAATCCATATCTACCTATGAATGATTTTGGAAATCCACTAGTGAGATCAGGCTGTCGTTTCCTCGTCTAATTAAGCACTGGAATATGAGCAAATCTGCATGCCTTTACCCAATGTTAAAATACCGCTTTTATGCAATGCAATATACCTAATGAGTGGAAGTAGTTGAGTGAGCTCTTTGACATCTTCACAAAGTCATTTGCGTGAGTGAATGGCATTCAATCAAACTGCAATTTGTGGTGATATGACTTGCGCAAAAATAAGTTCATCAAAACAAACCGGATTATGATTTTGTCACTAAATCATTGGTAATTTAGTTTTTGACCCGAAAGTTAATAATTTAAATTCACTTTTAACTTTATTATTTATCAATTATGGATCCCAAAAGAAAGTCGTCGTCCCCATAAAGTCATGGATTTATTTTTTGTTATAAAGCTTCTTGTGCCGTTTTGTGCTTGAAGGAGTGATGTATATATAATATTAAATCAGTTAAATCCCACCTTAAAACCCTCTTTCCCCATATGCTATCACTGACATCAGAATAAATGACGACTTGCTACTTAAGTTACAGTAAATGTGACTGGTCATAAAATTCGACATAGAGCGTAATTGAAACCACCTGATGAAAAATTGAATGCCCTACTGAATTAGTTGAAGTTTATGCGAACGGTATATGCTTTGCCTCAACCTAACGCATTGCGTTTTTCAAAATAGGTGAAAACGTTTAACTACGACTATTATTTCTGGGGATTGAATGGCTGTCGTCCATACCTCTGTTTGCCTTCGGAAATAAGATAACATCACGCCCAGAAAAAGCGAGACTGAATTTTACAAAATTAAGGCACTAGTGGCACCACCAAATAACCCTTCTTATCCTAAGGGATCAAATTTGATACTCCAGTTTATGAAGATTTTCATTACGGCTGTCCTAATGGGCTCATTTACATCAGACATGTTCAATTGCTATGTGTTTATAACCATTACTCCCTCCGAGTCATTGCTCGTGTCTGATGATCAATGACGAGATTCGACTACTAGTATTGAGTGTAGATGGATATTCGCTAACTGAAAGACTATCACTTGTTCAGTGATTGGAGACATCTACCAATCTTGTTTGCTCACCGCTCTCAGTGCCGATCAATTTTGTTGTGAACCTTTATTGTGGATGCTTCATCCGTCTGTCCGAGTAGGAAGCAAATACGCATACTATGTATCACAACAGTGACAATCCATCGTTTGCCCCTATTCTCATCAGCTGCCGTTCTGCATTGTATACTCTTTATAATTTGTTCTGATCTAGTATTCATAAATGTTAGTATATATTTAGAACTTGAAGAAGCCGAAGTGGAAAAGTATACTTGCGCACTGTACCTTTTGTATTCGGGTACACGGTCAACCGTTTTATCTGACGGGATAGTGTTGTGTCCAAATGCCGATTGATCACAATGTACACACAACAAGATATCACACGATGACAAACAAGGAACACACGTACCTCAATGGCCACACTATTCGTCTAGCCTCACGAGTACGATCACAGCACAGATTGGACGCCACGAGCACTAGTAACCTTCTCCCAGCTACGTAAGCAAGAACACAGTTAGTACACAGCGAACGTGTACTTGACACACAGAAAGCAAGTCAATTTACAAGTTTTACTCTGATGCTTATATGTGACTCAAAATAGCATCGATTAATGCAAGAAAAGATTGTACNCCAATCAAGTACACAGTTAGCAATGTTCAATCGGTCATAGGTCACGGATCAGACGGACGGAGTGAATGTTTCCGTATGACGCAATATTAATCGCTGCGGGATTAGTATTGATTCAAGATGCCCCTAATTGAAAATACTCGAAAAATAGGCAGTTTTAGGTAAAAATAGTCTTTTTACGTAACAGAAACAGAACAGTTTATCAAGTCATCGGATCATGTTGATGGGATGATTTGTCATGCTANTTACGTGAGCAGCTGTCAAGTGATTTGTGTACACAACTTTAAATGTCTAAACATTCCTACAAAGCACAGTGGCGAACAAGCTCGGTTTCAGTGATTCGTAGTCACGCTGAAACATCACAATAATTCTCTCAAAGAGGATGAATCAGCAGCGATAATAATACAAAGGAAACTATTTCATGCTGTTATTAAGACCTTCGATGTATCGAACCTCGGTGTTTTGTTCACGTTCAAGTCAGTTTACATGTTTATGATTGAAAGACAAAATGCTTGATTCCACCGCATATGGCTAAATACAAAAACGATTATTTCACTCACGTGCAGTGGTTTCGCACGTTGTACCGTGAATGGGACCGAAGCATTTCATCCCCTATATGAGATTTGCGGTCGCCTACAAGGCAAATTCGCTGTCGTATCCTTGCCACAACAGAAGAGACAGGAATTTATCTGTACAACTCCCGCTGTATGCTTGAAAACAATTTTTGCAGATGCTTAAGCTCCCTAGGCCCACCTGTTCTCCGATATCCTGAGTAGTTATGACGATCGGATGACATAATAAATAATTATGGGATCAGTGAGAATTGCATATCCCGTCGGAAGACTAAATTAGCCCCAGGTAATCTCTGATCTTAATTTTCCCTTTCACAAACAATTTTTCGTGGTTAAGTACTGATATACATGTATATATATGCATTGATATATTTCTTGTTATGTATTGGCACAGCTAAAAGTAACTGAGAATAAGCTTCACATGCGATGGAAATGTTTGTGATAACCGAAAAAGAGCTGTGTGTGGACTCGTCAGCAGTGCGTACTTTTTGTGTCCCTGTCAAGACTCGAACCGCGAATTTTCGGGTTGGGGCTTCAAACCTTTAGTCCTGAGCTACTCTTTCGACGATCATCACCTTGTGTGAATGGCTCAATCAGTTTTAGAGTGGCAAGCTTGGGTTAGCCCATTCGATTCGATTAAGAGGTATCAGGCGCTCTTGATGGTCAAGAGCATACTTAACAATCAAATTGGCTAATCCAAGCTTCCTACTCTAAAATCTGAGAATAAGCTTGTTTACCATTCTTTGTTCTACAAATTGCATTAATTGTGTGACTGATAATCTTTGAATTATGAAAAAGCAGTGACATTCAGAAGTGTTGTTCAATTACCGTGTTCGAGCTGCCGACACGAAAACGTAAATGCGATTCGAACTACAAATAAATCTAAAAATGAATGATTCTTGTCAAATCGCACGATCGAATCAACATGGAAATAATCACAGTTGCATAATAGTTTCACTCAACGACAATCTTTGACTATCCACTTGACAGTGTCAAGACAAAATAGAATAGAAGCAATGAGATAATAATGGAACATCTACCTGATTGGACATGTCATTTTGTAAAGACTTGACAACAAACATACTGTACGTTGTCAAAAGGTTTGCATCTCTTCCAAACCTTTGGGAATGCGTAAGTCGATTTGGAGTACAACACTTTGAACTAATTGGTTTCTTCATTATCCGGCCGCAGTTTGCATCATGGCAGCAGTACATAACACAAATAATTGCCCCAAAAGTACCAGTGCGTGAACAGGCTTCTAATATTAACTGCCAGAATGGAAATAAGGCATCAAAATTAATGAAGAATTCCGTTTATCTTTCATCGAGCGAGTTTGTTCTATTCTGACATGACAGATTGAGGTTATTCAAGGAACAACATAGGCCGTATTTGCTGTCGGTTTCAGGAGAAAAATACAACTGGAAGTGATTTTATTCAACATTTCACTTTGTTATTATACTACATTTAAAACTTTTCCCCGACAATGTGATTTGTAGAACGATCTCCTACTGTTATTGCATCAGTAATCATATTTTGTTCTTATGACCCACTATTAAACAAAATACAATAAAGTGCAAAACCCAGTGGCCAGAAATATTTTATTCTTCAAGGATCCAAAAATATTTCTCTTTCACCCGTTCTGTTCATCTCAGGCTATGCGGATGGCTTCATTCGTATGTATCACATCAATCAGCCAGAGCCGGTTTACGAACGAAATATTTGTGATATCTGTGACTGCCAGCTCAGTGCGGTGAAGTTGATCTGGTCTACAAGTCGTCCATCCATATTCTTTTGTCTCGATTCTTCCGGTCGTATTACCAGCTTAGACATGGTTGAAGTTCTGCACGAGGGCAACATGGATGAAGAGATAGATTGCGCACAAAAGCACACAATGGCTTCCGTAAACCAAGGTCTGGTAATTCACGTTCCCAGTGCGAAATTGGAGCAGCAACGAGTGTATGATTTCGCCCTGAGCAGGGGAGTTTTGGTCAGTTCCAATGGTCAGACACAAATCATGTCCGCGTTTGCTTTGATCTATCCAGAAGCTGTGAAAATTCATTGGTTAGATTCACAATGGTCACATGGGACTGGAGAAGAACTAAAGCTAACAAGAGATCGTTTTTCTCAGCTGTAAAGACCGATTTGCTTTTCACGTTCTGTTCTTTCACGTCTGTTCAGCTATGCTTGTGATTTTTTTGCGGGCTATTCTCTGACATTTATTGTTTTTCGTTTCACGGAGAATATACTTTATTGATTGGTAATTCCTGTTTTGTTTTTTACATTCACCAATGTGTTTTCATATGAACTTTCAACGTGATTTGACCAAACCCGTTCAGTAAACCCCGATACCTATAAAAGATCATAAGATCTCTGGAGATTCGTCTTCATAGAGAGCAGAAAAGACAGATTTGAGGAAGATTCCAGCATAAATTGGCACTATTCACGGTAGAAATTTATGCACATTATTTGTATTTGTAAAGTATGAAAATATTCATACTTAATTTCAAGCAACCTATGCCCACGTGAAATTTAATTGATCTTAATTTTACCTCTCCGTTGACTATCCGGATATATGATTGTAAGTCATGGTAGATTGCAGATCTCAGTCTCGAGCGCCGTAAAAATCCTTGACCTTAACCTGTCATATCCACTTGGACTGTTCAAATCCGTGTACAGTTGGTCTCACCTCCAGTAAGGAGTTGGGGCAAAATTTGAAGCTTCTGTGGATATGACCAGATATACTTACCTATAGCTGCCAATGGAATGCGAACGTACTCTTTATGTTGGTTATATCACAATATAGATCTGATACAGCCCTCAAAATTCTGCTGGAAGAGTAACATAACAGTGGTCTCACGTCTTCTTTGTTACAGTGACTTACTCTCAAAAGCCATGCCTAACTACAGTCTATGAATGAATGACCACCATATAGACGCGGTTCTTAGTTCAATCGACCATGTTGCTCATTATTAGTTCCACTGGGAGTTTGAAGGTTGTACGAATGCTTTGTATGGATTGTAAGCGAGCAGTGGAGAATTTAATTAAATTATGTGATTAATTCGTATAGTTCATAGATTGAACTGAAAAGTTGTGAAGCGTCGGACGGCTGTTTCGACCATGTTTAGTCTCATCACCACGGCGAATCCGTCGACCCTACATGCAATTAGACCTGGGGGCCCACCGAAAGAACGCAGGCACACTAACCATTTGTCCACTGAGTAGCTCATCAGACCGTTCAATATCTTCTCTTAGACGCGATAGAGGGAACAACCCATCTTTGCAAACTTAATTTAAGCATGAAACTTTGCTCATTAATGCAAACTGGAAATTGAATTTGGTCTGACCGTTTGAAAGACTAATGCACCGGATGTGTTTGAGAATCCTGACCAGTTTTACGATTTTCCAGCCCACTTATGCAATTCGGTTTATAACTTGGGCGTGATGGAAAGAACTTTCAAGTTGCATATCCTTATTAAGTCGTTCTGTTATGGAAAAGTACCTGATGCGGATCAGCATTCATTGGGAGCTTTTATGCCGTAGTTCCTAGTATGTAAGTACTGTGGATAAGGAACTCAGATTGAGCTGATTTTCACAGTAACCGTTCAGGCTGTTTCGAATTATTCAATTAATGGTGCGGTAAAAAAGAGGGTCACACAAGGTGTTTATGTAAAACTTCATATCTGACACTGAATTGCGTCGATCTTTCTCCATTATTACGGTTTTTCACTCGACAAGGTGAACAGTAAGATGGGTTTCATAAGAAATGTTTGGTAATTCGATGTGCATCGCTTCGCTCCAGGGAACAAATCCCAGTGGCTTCGATTGGTATGCAATATTAAAGACTTCTGACAAGAATAAAAACCGCACACATTTCTCTTTTTGAAAGTGGTCGCGTTTGATATTGTATGACACGATACCATGTGAATTTTTGTCCTTGTTTCGTGGGTTAAGTAAACGTTCTAGCAGGTGGCAAATATATTCAACTCAGTTACCGCTTAAATTTACTGAAGATCTAGGCCTATACATTACCTGAAAGAACTCGATTCCCCTAATAAGTCGCAAATGATGGAAACGGTAGTCCCCGTTTCGTATTGAACTTATTCAAATGTATCACATGGGAACAGTTCCATCAAAGGGAGTAGCCGAACTCGAAGTTGAAGTGTGTGGTATTAGAAAAATCAAAGCTTTTTTTCAGATATCCCATCCATCGTTGATCTGGAGGACATCACAGATATACCATTACACCTGTGGTTGATGATGGATTTTAGAGAGGACTTCCAGTATTGTTTTTTTTGCTTTTGGAAACAGTGTGTAAAATCGGTTTTACGAAATAGTATTCATTCGGTCTGGAAAGTCATACCATTAAGTGGGGCTTATGGTGCGCATGCTCTTTTGTTTGCATTGATGAAATTTAGTTGAGAAACAGGTAACTGTTTTGTTTAATATAGTGCACAAAATTCTAATAACCTCACTCTGCTGTCTTTTTATCTATCGATAAAGAAACAACCCAGATTGAAAACATTCGAGACAATTATAATGCAACTGAGTAGCGTTAAGAGAAAAACAAACGGATTTTTGTCATGACTCCGATAAACCGATTTTTCCGTAAAACAACTCAAGAGAGAGGAAAATGCTACCAACAGCACTGAGTTCCTCGATTAAACTGCATTTCACAGCTGTCAACAAAGTTTGGATGAGGAACCCGTGGTTCAAATGTTTTAAACAGTTCTGCATTTAACACATTGAAATAATATTGACATAACACGCCGTAGATGAATGATGACCAATTGGTTGAAACGGAAAAGTGGAAGGTGGATCAAGGCGGATCGCAGCTAGAGCAAGAAAAAGTGCTGGTTCACACAAACCTGGGCACTAGTATCCGCGAGCTTGCTGAGGAAATATTTTGGGCGAAGTACAAGGACTTAAATCTAAGAATAAACGTGGAACCGGCCAAAGGCTATCTGCTCAAAGCGCGCGACAGGTCTTACGAGTCCCTTCAAATCTGGTGAGATGCACATCTGAGTAACAACATTTATAACACTTAAATGTGTGCGTGCAGCTGTGTGTGTGTCTAGCAGCTGCCAAAATATCGATGGAAGATAGAATCAGTACCGTGGGTAACAAATTGCCATATTGACGATCGAGTTTCGTGAGTTAGAAGCAATATTAACTGATCTTCTAAATGGATCGTTGTGCGATGAGAAAAGCCTTGACCTCAATCATCGTTTAGGATTTTTGTACTAGTGACATAATCTGCCTAGGAATAGGTTAGTCTTTAGCCATTGTGCCTACGATAAGGGCTCTTTGGGATGCCATTTTGCGGATGGAAAGTCTCAGTTGGCAACTCCGAAGAAAATCTAACAGCTGAATCAAAATTTTGACCGAGTTTCTTGTACTGTATTGTATTAAATTCTGTAACCATAAAGAGTACAATTCAGTGAAATATACACAGGTTGGAGGAAGGGAAAAAATAAGATAAAAACGAAAAAAGAGATTTAAATGCCCAATCCTTCAGAGTGTCGATAAAGAACTATAATTTTCCATTTTGATAATACCTCTACATGTGGACCCCATCTCAGTAGTATGCGGTTCGATGGACCGGAACGTCAGGATCACGTATTGGTCACCCAACTGCTTCACTGAACACGTTTGGGTTCAATTTGAGTGGGTGGGTTTCGCACATGAAATGACATTGCATTCTGTCCACGAATTAAAGGCAGTCATCCTTCGTGGGTGGGAAAAATCAATAGTCCAAGCAATCCGAAACTTGACAGGCAATATACATTGTTTTTTGTTTTAGTCATCGATGATAAAGGTCAGTATGTTTCACAATCGCTTGGGTACTTTTGTCGTTTTTCAGGAGTGGGAGGACATAATAGTATTTTGTCCCCCCAGGGGACCGTGGTTTGGAGTAAATCAGTTTATGAAAGTCCCAATTATAATTCCTTTGCTTTCCCTATTCGGTAATGAGCTGTGTCATCAGCGTACCAGATTTCATTATTCTGGTTGGTTTATTTACCGAGATATGTGACGGGTGTAATAGCAGTCCGTGCATTGTATGTGCTTATAGGTGATACATTGTCTCCTTTTATCACTGACAATGGATAACACTTTCTAGGTTCTGTCAAATTAGAGAGTAAAATACACATATATATCCATTTTCTCATACTCATGGAAAATATCCAAGTTCTCCAAATTGTGCTGAAGAACGCAGTATGTATTGATGTAATTTATATGTGCACATATGGGTGAACGACTACTGAATATTAAAATAATTAGCAATTCAAAAGCCAGTATGTTTGTGACCACTGGTCCTATATCCTCAGGACGTTTCGAAATTCGGTGGGGATATTGGGCACTTCTCAGTTCCGTCCGTCTCTTGTTAATTATTTTTGGTTAATGTTTAATGAATTCTCTCCAAAGTTTATCCGATTTATGGAGATCGTTGCATACTCTGACTGAGTATTGATAGTAAGCAGCATGCAATAAAATCGAAAAATAAATTTGATTGATGATTTAAAAGAGCTCATATCGATTGTAAGCTGTGAGAGTTAAACAATCATTGACAATTGTTTGGAAATTATTTTAAAAATCAGTGCGTATTCTTTAGATACACATTTAGAATCCTAATAATGAAACATTTAAATTGTTGATCCATGTTGATATCAGTGATTGGCATTTTAGGTGCCTAAGCTATAGAAAATGGATTTCGATTATTGGTGAAAGATTCCACCACCTTAACGGCGGTTTATTTTTCGAGATCTGAAATTTTTATTTACTAGCTCATTTAATCTATAATAAGTTTAAATTACTCCAGAAAATATTCTAAGCAAAGTGGTTCATAGTTGACCGTGGGGATTTGTCGTTTGTACGTTTGTTAATAATTTACCCACTTGCTGTTTGTTTTATGACCACTTACATCTTCCTGAAAATTTCATCGTCATATATTCAATAAAAGAAAATAAAAATGCGGACCAAAGTTTCCTTTGGTATTTTTTGTCGGCAAAAGCAATGAATTTGATCGGATTTTTAAGTACAGTCTCAAGTTTTCATTTTTGCTGCTTCGGTTTGTTAGATATTCCGACGGAGGAACATTATCTTTTTTTCGAAGTTTTTTTCTATAATTCCGTCGTGAAGGTGGTACAAGTAAGGATGTACTTGGAACAAAACGTTCAACAGTCGGAAAATGTGTAAGTATTTATCTATTGCAATGTTCTCATCTACTCGTTCATCATTGGTGGGTTAGTAATTTCGTATGACAAGGCATTTATCACAGAGATTCTAATCGTGGCCTGGTTGAGAACCGGAAATAAAAATCCACGGGGCGCCTGAGGTTACCTGCAAGTGCCAAAAAATATACAGATTGCAGCACCATATGTTAATCACATAACCAACAGCAATCTAAGTTATGAGTCCGTCATCATGTCCACATTAATGAGTTCCTTTGTCACTTCCGTTGCAAAAATCTCAAACAAAGTAACGAAACAACTTGATTTCGAGCACATTACGATGATATGTTGTGTGAAACAAATTCACCGGAGCTGTTGAAAAGTATTACTTTCCCCTCTCGTCCTCATGAATTCCGCTCTCCGAAAAAAATGATTGACAATTAGTTTTGATCAGTCCCCATATAGTTATTGAAACATTTGCGTCTATGCCTACCAGTTGTATAATTGTTCATCAACATTTTCACCGGGACAAAATTATTGCACCCCCATGACATGCCTCACTTAAATCGGTTTAAAATGTGTGCGATGGTAATTTCGCGCGGCAGCTGCCATCCAGGGTGAGTTAGAAGTCGACCGATTGAAGTAGGTTACGGTCACGTGACATTGCGGTGACAGCGCTCATATGTTCACGACCCAATCAATGACCTTGAAGTAGGAAGAAATTCGTCCAAGTTGGTTGGTGCACGTTACCGCCATTTACAGCGTTCAATTTTATGCTGAACTTCAGAATCGATTTCAGGCGACACAACGTAACTAAGGGAGCGACAAGTCTAGATCCATTATGGTACAACTGTGAGGTGAAATGAACTACAAAACAAGCAGGCTTCACTGGACCGGATCCAGGAAAAAAAGTTCTCTGCAAAAGATAAGCGCACGTTTATATGCATGCATCAAACGCTGCGTGTCCTTGAGCGGAGAGGAAAAAGGTTTAAAAGATTTCGGTGCAATCGATAATTTGAAAACAAGAACCAGTTTTCGGGGTGAAATACAAAATTAAAATGTAAATCTACGTCCAAAAGAACGTTTATCGTATTCTGAAACTCGTGTAATTTGTAGAAATAAAGCCAATTGTGTTTATATTATCGACGTAATGTAAATTCACACAACGCATGGAATGGACACAAGCACGACTCTCCGAACGGACGGTATTTCACTGTGGACTATTTTTCAAGAAGGTAACACCTCGGCTCATAATCCGTATCTGATTCAACGCGTGCTGTTATTTTGTGCTATCAAAACATCGGTGTGACCTGCTTGCGGCACTGATGTGAACCCCATAGAAAACATCTAGATCAATCTACCTCAAGTGGTGTAATGCAAAATATTAACTGAAGACATCCTTGAGCAGAGAATGGAACTTTATCGACAGAGATATTATTTCAAATTTCATACGTTGTGACAATGAAATTTGTTGAAGCATAATAATGTTCAATGTACCTGTTATCAGTTTGGTTCAATTGAGGCACTTACACGAGAGTGTGATATTTTTGACTCTGAAACTAGTAATTTTCTTTGTTTTTCGATGAAACAAATAATTTGATGAGATTTCGTACGTTGGCTTTCCTTATCTATTGTTGTCTATGGGTTTCCCAAAATTGCGGCAATTATGCAATTGAAACGAACAACTTCGCGCATTTAGAGGGAATCAATACTGTCATCGCTTTGTGTATAAGGTTGTGAAATTACCAACGCCATTAAATATGATATATCTTGACCAATAGACGTTAGGTGTTGTGATTCAGAGCAGACAGTGGTTGATGGAGCATTGCCTGCAAGTGCAAAAAGTAATTTTATCATGTTTTTTTCTGACAATGAGCGATTTCCCATTCTTTTCTTGTTCATTTCAAGAAATTTCTGTTTCTTGGGTTTTTGTTACGAACCAACTAAATGCAGCAAACGTCGTGACAAACTCTAGTAGATCCGGTGTGAGTGGTTTTGCATACCATTTTTTATACGGCAAATGACACAAAAACCCACAATGGACTGTCTGTAATGCTAAACTTAATAAATATCAACAATGGCGGATTTGTGATTCCACATCGCTGTTCCAATCCAGTCAATAAACGGCCGCAAGGAACCACTTAATGATGTCTAAATATGCAGATGTTTTCTTGATAATAATTCCCACCAATGGTTTGGGTCCGGTGGTCTCGTTCAGAATATGTCGGACCTTGTAAATACCCTATAAATTTACATGTAAGATTTGATGACGATTGGGCTAAGCTTCGGATAAACTGCCTGACGTCTGCAAGAGATAGTTAACCTAAAGTCCGTGATTTAATTGCAACAAATCCGGTATATGAACTCATTTGTAATACCCTGGATGGAAATACTCTTTTCTAGGTAATCATGATGCAAAGGTTTTCTTTAGTTCGTAACACAATCCTTATTCAATTATTTCATTCATAAATGTTTAACGTAATGTAGAAAGTATGACTGGCTACTGAGCATCAGTCTAAGATCGACACTTGAGGTAAAATCAAATATTAATGATTCCTGATCCGTTTTGCTCAAGCACAGTGGATTATCCTGAAATGTGATACGTTACAAAGCAAGACAACTCAGCATTTGTTTCTGATGAACAACTTCACATAAATGACTTTATCTTTCGCTCCTCACGACTGAGGCGCACAACTAAGGCAAGGTTGGAATACGTTTTCTTTACTCTTTTGGTACATCAGCTGAGAAAATAGTTTCTAATAGAACCATAATCACTGGGATCATGAATCCATTTTAAAACTGATATTGTTTTCAAAACATTACATATACACTTCACATCT